GGGGGGGGGGGGGGGGGGGGGGGGGGGGGGGGGGAGTCCTTGTGGTGAGGGATGTTTTTTTCTGGGGGCAGTGCTGAGCAGGTGTATAATGGAGTGGTCATGGGGCAAGTGCAGGTATGTTTGACTGAGAATGTGCTGTTAGGTTCGGAAAGTGAGGCGGTCGGAATAAAGTTTGGCCTGAAGGACGGTCCCGAGGAGGGAAGAGAGAGGAAACAGACAGGTGTTATGAGGTGTTACGTTCTGGGAAATGGCAGCGCTGGCACTTACCTTTGATTGAATCAACTATCAGAACTGATATCAGGAAAGGCTGCGTGATGGTAGTTGTCCCTCACTCAGACTGTGTTGCCAAACTGTTCATAGCTTTCCTTGTCCCCCCTCCTCTGCTCTCTCGCTCTTCCTTGCCCCGTGTTTGCACCCGCCTCTTCCCAGTCGAAGCCTCCCACATTCCGTTCTTCTATATTCTTGTATGTTGTCTGTCGTGCAGGGCTGTGTCTTTCCACCCTCGATTTGCTATCGTTGTCTTCATCATCCCCGAATTTCTAGCATTCCTGGCTTTTCCTCATTTTCTTACCTACTAGCCAGCCTGCTTTCTGTGTTCCTGTTCTGCGCCGTTCTGCCTCACTGTTGGTGTTCCTGTTCCGCGCCGTTCCGCCTCACTGTTGGTCTCTGCGTTGCAGAGAGCATGGCGAGGTCCATCTCATGGCAGTGTTCCGGATGGAATGATGCACTGCATCTAGGGTACCCTCGCCCAGCCTCTGGACCTGCACAGGGCACCCTGTGCAGGCGGAAAGGCGGCCCCTTTTTTTGTTTGGGAGGAGGTTTTCTGCACACGGCCAGAGGAGCTGAAATCCGCGCTCCTTTCTCTACGAGTGATGGCTGTCAAGGGGCTGGAAGGGTTTAAACTTCGAAGGGAGGTGCCCTGTCTGATTCTGGTGTTGTTTTCTGTTTTATGTTCTCGCTTCGGTGAGGAATTCTCATGTCGCCGGTAGCCAAAAGTCGTTTGTGTTGCAATTCTACCACACTTTTTCTGAAAAAAATAATTTTTAACTTTCTTTCTTTTGCGCTGGGGCTGCCCGAGGGTCGGGTACCCGGGCATGTATGCGGGCAGAAGTTAGCTGCCCGGGTGCCCAGACGAACAGCCTTGCACTGCATGCAATTCCCAGTACGGTTCCTTGCATTTGCTGCTCTCAAGTATCGGATGGGGGTTTATACGGGCTGTGCTCCTGGGATATACCAACTTTTTTTTTTTTTTTTTTGATATACCAACTTGATATGTGCATGTACAAAGGAGTTCTCTTGTTTTCATGGTTGAAAGCATTCTTTCACTTTGAGTGCATGCGTTATGTGAGCAGAGAAAACGCGATACGTAGGCGTCTTGAATGAATGTAGGTCTTTCCATGCAGTGCAGTCTGGTGATACTTGCGTACTTGCTGTCTGCCCGGCTTACCCTGTATGGTTATATACAAACACATTGTAGAATCTGATGAAACGTTTTAAGGAATCTCTCTGCAGTATAGAAGTGGAGTCGGGGGAATTCGGCATTTCGATCACGTCCAATATCATGTCTCCTCAGACAGGATAGTACTGAAGAGGACCACCGGACGGAAACTGACAGGGCTGATGAGATGAAATCACATATATAGGACAGTTTGTGGTTGTGTATGAACCTGTATAAACATCCCACCGGTTGTTTTGGAATCGTTTCTGGTCTCGATAACAATTGCTTGTTGTCTTGTGGAGCCCTTCGATTCTACTTTGCTCTTGGTAATAAATTAAAAATGCATAAAAAAATATAGTCTGTTGGTGAAAAATCTGTGCAAGGGTGGTTTCTGGTCAGATAGTCCTGCTGTGAGCACTGTGTTGTTTGGCCCCCCCCGGTGACCTAGGGGCTCGGTCTCTTCCTGATGTGCGCTCGTTTCCTCAGGGGTCGTCTAATTGGGTTGTGACGTGGTCTCTCCGATACCGACTGGCCAAGAAAATCTCCATGGATAAAGTGCACGTGCTTTGTTCGACTGTTTTCTGTCACCCATTCACTGACCTTTTATTCAAGATGTGGTCTGGACATATCGACCTGTGATGAGACTCGTATATCACGCGAATGTGCCAAAAAGACTCTAGGTGTAGGTGAATATGCCACGGTAATCTTTTTGTGCTCTTTGGGTTGTCTTTAGGGGTTCTCCTACACGTCTGCATGCTGTGCTTAGATTGTGGACCGCGCTATCGGTCCTTTAATGACGTCTTTAGGGGTTCTCCTACGCTGTAGCACATGAAGTTTATGGTGAAGATGAACCCCCGGAGCTTGCTACATGCCCCTCACGGTTCTACAGCCGTGACTCTTGGTGTCTCTGAATTGCCCTTTGTGACTCCGCCAAACACAGGGAGATGCTGATACCCTGTGGAAAGATCTGAGACTGCAGGATATATTCTGGCAGGACCGGTTTGCCCATACTTGAGAAAACTTCAAGCCAGAAGATTTTTGTCCATATCTCTTGCAGGCACCTGTCTTCTATCCGTATGAAGTTTATCAGCCATGGGCTCTGGCACTGCCCGGACGTGGACCTTTTTTGTTGCCCGATGGTTTGAATCTTGCGGCTGAGATTTGTCCTCCTGAAATGATATGCTTTGTTGACATCTGGCACTGCGATTGTCGGAGGTGTGGACCGTCTCACTGGCCAGCTAAGAGCACCAGAGAGGGTCGGTGAGGGTAGAGAGAGCTTCAGAGAATGCCAGAGCATCAGAGAATGTCAGGGTCGAGTGTTCAGTTTGTAGCGGAACAGAAAAAGCGTGTAAATTGGTGGTCTGGAAACTAGTACCATAAAGTAAAGGCCATAGACTAGATAGTCTAGCCCAATTTGTTAAATCATTCATTGTTGTAAGTATTACAGAAGTAGAAAGTATCTG